TGCACAGTCTGCTCGGATAACGAGCCAGAAGATATAATTCACTGCTTAATTAGCTGCAAGGAAGCTACGGAATATTGGGCCAGGGCCTCGGACCTGTCTCTTATACACATCTAGATGTGTATAAGAGACAGATTATATACCTTCAAACAGAGTATATATATCATCAAACAGAGCTGCCCGGTAAACCGTAGGCAGAGAGAGAGAAGAGGACAACAAACGAGGGGCTGTGACAAACTGTTTCGTCAGAGTTTCACGGACTCATCAGGAGGCTGAACCCTATATATAAAGAAAACGGTTCCTGGCCTCAACATGTATGTGGACTACATCATAACCAAATAGATACATTCGGACTGATCCCACATTCTGAACGTATTGGGAACATAAACAGCTCCAGATACATTTAGAATGTTGTGCAGTGGAACGAGGCCCATATCCTGCAGTTGCCGCAAATTAGTACGCCATAGAAATTAGAATATATAATAACTACTTTACATATTGTTCGAAGCTGAGGATGAGTTCAATGGGTTTGTGGTCTAGTCCTGGGTACGGTTGAAGGGGGAGAATCTCTGTGTGTTTGGTTGTGCCCATTAATATGTCTGATAGGATGAAATAATCTATGAAGGAGAAGGCTGTGTGCTGGGCATGGTTCTTTTTCACCAATGTGAAAGCTCTTTCACCTGGATGTAAGGTGCGGTATGGCTCCACCAGGTTAAGATCCAGCATCAACTTCTGGATGGGAACTTCTTCTTGCGTGGACTGAAAGGTTGTTGATCTGGAGATAAGGTCGGTGGCAGGGTCCAGTGTGGCATTCCAATCGCCTGCTAGGATGCAGGGTGATATGGAGGGGATCAGACTACCCAGATTCTGTTATAAATGAGGATCTTTCTGAGGAGCTGTTAGGTGCGTAGAGGTTGATTACCCTGAATTCTTGTTCCTTCCATCTTACTAGATGACCTGTTGCGGCTTCGCTCGCAAAAACAAAAATGACCCGTGATCCATTCATGGTGGAGGCAACTGATCAATGCAAACTC